GCAGGGGGGAGGGGAGGTAGTTGGGGGTCATGGGGCTGTGCGTAGGGGGGAGAGGGGAGGTGGGTGGGTGCCATGGGACTGTGTGCAGGGGGAGGGGAGGTGGTTGGGGGCCATGGGGTGCTGTATGCAGGGTATGTGGAGGTTGTTGGGGGCCATGGGACTGTGTGCAGTGGGGAGGAGAGGTATAGGAAGCCAGTGATGCCTGGGGAATAACTGTATAAGGAGATTCATGGGAGGGTTTAGATTGTGTGTGTGAGTCAGAGGTACTGTATTTTAGTGAGCCCAGGGTTAGAGTTGGGATTATGGACAGGCCTATGGGGGATTGGATGGCAGTGCAGTTGCTCACAGCTGGCCTTAAGCCCAAGATGTGGTCAGTTGCTCCATGCAGATCTGGAAACTCATAAGCTGGCTCGATCTCTCTCTCTAGTCTTCCCTGGACTACTGGACTGGTGGAGAGGTGCTGTTGCTCTGCCATATTCCTTTTCCCCACTTTGGTATGGATACCAGCATGGGAGACAGTTCTCCAGCAGAACTGTATTTGTCCCCATTGTATTCGTGAAACCAGAGTGAGCAGCCCAATTTCCTTTCTGTCTTATACTTCCCAGCGCTGGGTCCTATGTAGAAGGGCTGCTGTACTGTTGGAGAAACTTTTATTTTTGTCTTTTGGTCCTTAATGTTTTCCCAACCCTTCTGGCTGCTGTAATGAGTACACATTCTCTTTATTTCTCCAGCATCTGGGCTCCTGCAGTGGGGCTAGGTTTCCATTCCATTAACTCTCCCTCTCCCCTCTGCCTGCTTTTGCTCAGGGCTTTTTCCAGGCAGTTGTAGTTCTGACATTGACTTGTGTTGATTTCACTGCTTCCCAGAGGTTTCTGAACAGCAATGGTGAAACTGCCCAGAGGCTGTTGCTTTCTGCATGCTGGACCCGTCTGCAGGCTTATTTAAAATGAAACCTTAACTTGGGCAGAAGTAGGTGGCTTGGCTCCCTCCCGCCCCCCCAATTCACATTGGAACAGGAGTCTCACTGTATAGTAGAGTAAAGCTGTGGAGCCCTTTTAAACTGTATTTCTGCTTATTAGGTAGCTGTGGCAGCAGGAGACTGCACATGTCATGAGGAAGAAGAGCTTGTGAAGGGAGGAAAAATTGTGACTTGGAGGCCTAGAAAAGGTATGCAGGAAAAAAAAAGGCATTCAGTCAGAACAAGGTGAGAGAGAATAGTTACTAATGCTGTCTGCTAGGAGAGACCAGCAAAGCTGTATAGTGCTGATGGGTGGAAAACTTCTTTTGAGCGACTGCTAAATTATTGTTGCCCATTTTATGTGGATCCCTAGATAGAAGAGTACTTAATCGATCTTGCAAAACAAATTCCTGTTGTTTTGGAGACTCCAGCTGGACTAATTCGATAAATTTGCCCTGAAAGCAGGGGTGGGCAATAAACAGCCTAGAGGTGGGATGAGGGTTAGCCAGGGTTAGTCCCTGGAGAGCCGTCAGATCTTTTATTTACCTGAGTGTCCGCAGGTAGGGTCACTTGCAGCTCCCGTTGGCCACGGTTCACTGTTCCTTGCCAATGGGAGCTGCAGGAAGCGGTGGGCCTGACCCATGCTGCTTCCCACGGCTCCCGTTGGCCAGGAACAGCTAACTGCAGCCAGAGGGAGCTGCGAGTGCTTATACCTGCAGGCGCTTGGGTAAATTAAGTGTCTGGTGGCCTGCCGGGGACTAACTCTGGTGAACTGTGTTTGGCCCGTTGGCCACTTATTGCTCATCTCTGCATTACACAATCGCAAGAGGTAGTGAAGATAAAACAGGATTGTAAGTACCAGACATCAGCCGAAGGTGAAAAGTTCAGACCCAAACTTTGGCCCCGTTAAAGAGCTGTGAAGTTCTGATCCAAAGTTTTTGGAAGTTTGGAGCTTGTGATGAGATTCAGGCCATCTGTAATGTATTCCAAACACAGCAAATATCTGAAACCCAGAGCAATACTTCTGTGCTATTAAATACACATGTGAAATTGGGCTTTTTATAATTCAATAGAATTGATGTTGTCTTGTGTTACAGAATTTTATTCCTTCTGCAACCTTAGCACAGTATAATGGGTTGGGGTTAGATTTCTGTCTGTAGCTGTAACTTGCAGAACTGTTGCAGTTTTCCTGGGTTTTGACTATCTTCATTGCTTGCTCAAAACAGGTCTGTGTTCACAAAGTGTCTTCATGTAGCTGGCTGAACTACTGCATGATATTAAGGCATGTTCACTGCCCCAGTTTATTTCCTAAGCATCTCTGCAATTTCTGTTGTATTGCAGGTTGTTTGGCAAGGAACCTTTCTGATGACGAATCTCACCAGAATAAATTTTCTGATTTCCCTTGCTACGAAAGTGACACCAGTCATGTGGATTCGGATTCCTCTGGGCCTCCTATTAAATGTCTTGGTGACTTTGATGACTTCCAGAGTGACCTTGAGAGCTGGGAGTTAAATGACGAAGCCTGCGCTGCATCTTTCCATGAGCTGAAAATTAATCCTCAATACGAGGAAGAGGATTGGGATAAAGAATTGGAGGCTGCTGAATGTAATCCATACGGTAGGCACAGATTTGCCTATACTTTCATTGAGCCTAGGACTGTAGGTGGATGGGGGGCGCGGTGCTTTGTCTGACAGCCCATTTGAGCTAGGGATGTTAAATTGCGGGTAATTGATTAATCGAATAGTCAATGCATTTTGCATTGACTATTCGACTAGTCAATAGGGCGTTTCTGCCTTTGAATTGTAGAAGCAGCCCTAGGGTTTTCTTGCAGCATTTCAAAGCAGCAGCGCAGCACAGATCCCGGGGTCAGTGGAGAGTCCCTAGCTGATCCCAGGCTCCACACGGCACTGCTACTTTGAAACGCCACCACATGAGCTTGGAGTCAGGCTCCTCTCAGCAGTGGCAGAGCTGAGTGGAGACCGGGGTCTGGCCCCAGGCTCCTCGCGGTGCTGCCTCTTTGAAGTATCCCCTTTCTCTCCCCCCGGTTGCTGCCTTTTTCTGATAGAAGCAGCAAAGGGGCGGGGGAGAGGGGAGCAACTAATCGACAAGCTTGTCAACTATCTGATGAGAAGCTCCACTTTCACCTATTTTGAGCATTTGGAAGCAGCTCTTTGGTTGCTTTCTGTCTGCCTTGTTTATGATGCACAGTTGTACCTAGGTCTGAAAATACAATAGTTTAAAATAAATATTGCTGTGTTCAAATGGAACAGCCATGGCTCTTTCCTTGGACATTGGGGGTTTTTATTAGATGGTATGGCAAGGGGAAAATGTGCACATAGCATTGCTCTAGGGCTAGGTCCTTAAGTCTTGTATATTGCTCTGGGGCAAGAGAGGTGGGCTGATCTTGACCTCCTGGTAGTGGGTATCCAGTAGATGAAAGCTCTAAAGGATTCATCTCCTTCCCTCCTGAGAGAGATTTACCCTGGGCTTTGTCAGTCTCCTCCCTGTAGAGTGGGGATGTTAAAATGCGACTATCTGGCAATCAGTTAGTCAATAAGCGCCACTGTGCAGAGCTGCAGCGGGGGACTTGAGCTGGGACTGAGCTGTCCTGGCTTGTGCTGGCTCCGGAGCCACCTGTGCTGCGGCTCTGCATTTTAAATGTAGTAAGAGCTGCTGAGCTCTTGCTGAGTCCAGTAGCCAGTTTGTGCTGAGTCCAGCAGCCCCTGTTCGTGGTGGACAGTCTGCGGCGAACAGGGGCTGGTGCTGGACAGACTGCTCTTGCTCCACCCCAGCAAATGGAGGGAGGGGCAACTAGTCAAGTAGCTACTCAACTATCCGATAAACATTTGCTAGTCGAGTAGTCACTGACATCCCTACTGTAGAGCGTGGAGGTGTTGGAAGGTTGGCTACTCTGAGCTGCCACTGCAGTCAGTGGGTGATGAAAGCATTTAGAGTTTTGCCAGACTAGACACTTATGTTCAGCAAACTGCTGGTGTGTTTAATGAATAACCCATGGAGGGTTTGTAAATAAGCAATAGGACCAGCTCGTTCTGTCTCCTTGTCCTACACTCTCTCTGTCTCTTAGAATTTGTACAAATAAAACAATTCCCTCTTTGCCCGGGAGGAATTGATTCTTTTGTTGGTTTTGTTCAATAGTATTTATCTTTCCTTTTTGTATATGACTGCAGCATTCAATTGAGTTCCATAGGTTAATAGCAGAAAAATCAAGGCTCGCCTCCTTAGAGTTCCTATAGTATTGAGTTAGCTAAAGTGTAGATAGCTGTGCTTGTGTTTCATTCTCAGTTAACCTCAGCACAGAGGGGGGAGGGATAGCTCAGTGGTATGAGTATTGGCCTGATAAACCCAGGATTGTGAGTTCAATCCTTGTGGAGGACATTTAGGGTACGTCTAGACTACCGCATTTTGTTGACGGAAGTTTTGTCGACAGTATCTGTCGACAAAACTTCCGTCAACAAAATGCGGTAGTCTAGACGTACCCTAAATGTCCTCCACAAGGATTGAACTCACAATCCTGGGTTTATCAGGCCAATACTCATACCACTGAGCTATCCCTCCCCCCTCTGTGCTGAGGTTAACTGAGAATGAAACACAAGCACAGCTATCTACACTTTAGCTAACTCAATACTATAGGAGGTAGTGTAGACACTGGTATAGTTTTGTCGACAAAAGTCCACTTTTGTCGACAAAACTAGGTAGTCTAGACACACCCTTAAGGATTTGGGGCAAAAAAAAAAAAATTGTCAGGGATGGTACTTGGTCATGCTGTGAAGGCAGGGGACTGGACTCCATAACCTTTCAAGGTCCCTTCCAGTTCTAAGAGATACAAAATCTCCAAAAAAAAAAAAAAAAGTCTATATGAGGTGGCAAAATCTGTAGATAATACTAAACTGCTCAAAATAGTGAAGACCAAAGCAGACTATGAAGAGCTTCAACAAGATCTCACAAAACTAAGTGATTGGGCAACAAAAATGGTAAATGAAATGTAATGTTGATAAATGTAAAGTAATGCACATTGGAAAAAATAATCCTAACTATACATACAAAATGATGGGGACTAATTTAGCTATAACTATTCAAGAGAGAGTTCTTGGAGTCATTGTGGATAGTTCTCTGAAAACATCCACTCAGAATGCAGCAACAGTCAAAAAAGCAAACAGAATGTTAGGAATCATGAAAAAGGGGATGGAGAATAAGACCAAGAATATCTTATTGCCTCTATATAAATCCATGGTATGCCCACATATTGAATACTGCATACTGATGTGGTTGCCTGATCTCAAAAAAGATATATTGGCATTGGAAAAGGTTCAGAAAAGAACAACAAAAACGATTAGGGGTTTGGAACAGGTGCCATATGAAGAGAGATTAAAAATAATGGTACTTTTCATCTTAGAAAAGAGGAGACTAAGGGGGGATATGATAGAGGTCTATACAATCATGACTGGTGTGGAAAAAGTGAATAAGGAAAAGTTATTTACTTGTTCCCATAACATAAGAACTAGGGGGTCACCAAATGAAACTAATAGGTAGCAGGTTTAAAACAAACAAAAGGAAGTTTTTCTTCACTCAGCGCACAGTCAACCTGTGGAACTCCTTGCCAGAGGATGTTGTAAAGACCAGGACTTTAACAGGGTTCAAAAAAGAACTAGATAAATTCATGGAGGTTATATCCCTCAGTGGCTATTAGCCAGGATGGGTAGGAATTGTGTCCCTAGCCTCTGTTTGTCAGAAGCTGGAAATGAATGACTGGAGAGGGATCACTTGATGATTACCTGTTCCATTCACTCCCTCTGGTGTACCTGGCATTGGCCACTATCGGAAGACAGGATACTAGGCTAGATGGATCTTTCGTCCCACCCAGTAAGGCTGTTGTTATATTCTTAGATGAGGAGACTAAATATTGTGTTTTAAATTTTTTTTTATCTGACCACAAACTTGATTAGTCTTTGGCACAAGGACTTCTCCCATTCATTCTTCAGCATCTTACCTGCAATTCATACCTTTCAAGCACACATAAACCTAGAAATGGAGGGAAACCCCGCCTGCGGCTTGGGAGTTTACAACTAACATTGAGCTCTTCTGTCTGGATTCTTCGAATATCCACAAATCGCCATCCACTTGATCTGTCCTGTCCTGCATCATTTTTTATATTTACTTTCTCGATTGACACATTTTGGTGCCTTGTTTCGCAGCACCGCTGAAAAATTAGTGGTGGGAATAATGCCGTTTTTTGTGAATCTGGCTTTTTAAGACCCATGGTTCCCTGAGGTTTATAATGGCAGCAGCCACTTGGCATTTCCCTGTTTAGCTGCAAATCCTCTTGCCTGTGCACAGTGGACCCTACTGTGTTTTTGTGGCATGTCTGTTAAGATATTTTATTTTAATGAAGTTAGTTGTAGGCTAGAGAATACACTGGGTCAGCACCAGCTCCCTGTCCCATTTCCAGCCTCGCTCATTCTTGACCTGATCCAGCAAAGAGTTCCTCATGTGCTGGCAGATGGATGAAGGAGGCGGAAAAGAGTGTGGCAGGGGTCATTGTGGAATAGTGGGAATGCATAGTGGCTTTGTGGCTGCATAGACCATGTAAGGGTGGGATGGTCTCGTGCTTAAGGCCCGAGATCCTGAGCTAGGAGTTGTGGCTTCTGTTCCTAGCTCTGTCAGAGGCTGTCTGGGAGATCTTGAGCAGGTAATTCACTGAAGCTTTTCTACTGGCACCCTCAGTTGCACAAAGGTTTTGTAGGTTTCATGCACCAGTGTTGGTCAGCCAAACTGACAAATTATTTGCACTAGTGCAAATAATTTGTACAACAAAACCGTGGCAGCAATAGCCAATGCTGAGTGTTCTAATGCAGTCTAATAACACTCTTATTTTTAAAAATCCTCTTTAGATGCGGAAGATATCGACTGTGATAGTCTTCAGGGAAGTGATCTATTGCCATCCTGTGCGTGGGAAGAAGAATTCTTGTATGACCCCAGGTGTCACCATGCAGCTCCACTCACTCTGAGTTTGCCAAATAGATTGCCTGAGGTTGGCCAGTTTGATGATGCAGATGTTTGATGATGCAGAGGTTTGCCTCTATTCAGGGCTGTACTTGGCAAACTGGATTGTGCTCCATTGCAGAGATGCACTGCAAGATGGTGCACCTTCACCTACCCCATTGGTTTCAAAACAGGGGCAGTAATTCTCTACCTTCCCTGGAAACTTTCCTCGAGACTGTCCTTGAGCTACAAATAAACTGATCATGACGACTGGTAGGAAGAAGAGAGGATCTCGGACTGGACGCTAATCCTAGGCATCAGTGCTGTTTTGTAGCGTGTTTCATTTTCATGGTTTTTTTTAAAGGGAAAAAAAAAAGCTGTTGGAGACGTATGATTTTTAAACGATGGCTCAGTAACTGGGATTAGCCAGGTCTAACCTAGATCTCATCATATAACTTTAATTTTTCTTCTTTTATTTGGCATTAATTGTCAAGTTGGGATTAAATCTTCTTTTTCTTGTTATAGATTCTACGTCATAAGTAGCATGACCACATTGTGTTTGAAGTGTAAGCCTCTGACAGGCAGAGAGTATGCAACAATATTTAGTCATGAGAAATACAGAAGGCTTTGTTCTTTACACTAAGGCTATTTTTTTGTCAGTCAATACAAATGGGGAGTTACAGAGTCAAATGTCAACAAGAGTGCTGGTGCATGATTTACTTATGTTGCTGAGCACTTACTCAAACAATCCCATTGTAGCCAGTGAGACAATGCCCGTGACTAAGGATTGTGTAATTGAGGCCTTAGTGAAAGTAGCTTTGATTGAGGCTCCTTAGAGAGGAAGTAGGATTCAGCACCTGTGATTTATTCTTTGCTGTCAAGCTGGATCACAGGTAAAAGACGCAGAACAAGTAGACAGTAGCAAGGCAAGGAGGGCTGTCTGCCCCCTCTCTACCCAAGGAGGTAAGGGTGCTAGAGGAAACTGTGCCAGAGACTACAGAGAGCAGGAGAGCTGGGGAATAAGCAGGAAGAGCTTGAAATTCTAGTAAATAAACACAACTCTGACATAGTTGATATCAGAGAGACTTGGTGGGAAAATACACAATTGGGATATTGGTGTAGAAGGGTACAGCTTGCTCAGGAAGCATAGGCAGGGGAAAAAGGGAGAAGGTGTTATCTTATATATTAAACATGTATGCATTTGGACTGAGGTTAAGATGGACCCAGGAGACAGACTTGTTTAAAGTCTCTGGATAAGGTAAAAGTGAGTGATGTCATGGGAGAGGTCTATTACAGACCACGTCACTAGGAAGAAGAAGCAGGCGAGGCTTTTTAAAAAACAACTAACAAAATCATCCAAAGCACAGGACTTGGTGGTGATGGGGGACTTGAGCTATCCAGACATCTGTTGGGAAAATAACACAGCAGGGCACAGATCAGGAAGGAACAATCCGTTTCACACGTACAAAATGGGAAGGGACTGTCTAAGGCAGGGATGTCCAAACTTTTTTCAAAGAGGGCCAGATTTGAAGAAGTGAACATGCGTGAGGGCCGACCATTTTGCCTGACATTCTTTGAACCATTAAAATTAAATGCAAATTAACTATTTTATGCAAAGTTTATTGCAAACGGCATACTTTTCATTTCGTCACATGGATGACAAATCTAAACAGGTGTTAAATCACTCTGCCTTTCATATCTGAAGGCCAGATGAAAAAAAAATCCAGGAAGCTGAAATATATGTCAGGAACATTGTAAAGTACATTACATATTATTGGTAATAAAGGTTGTCTGTCAACTTTTAAGTTCAAAAAATATGAACAGGAACATAACACCAAGTATACATGTTGTGTCCAAATATATTTATAACTGATTTAGACCAACTGACTTTAACTGAGATTTTACAATGTATTCATCTCAATACATATGGATTCATTGGGGGCCATAAAAGATAGATATTGCCAAATTACCCGTGGGGCCATATTAAACCGGAACACGGGCCGGACTTTGGACACGCCTGTTTTAAACACTTGAAACCAACTCCTACCACTGTGTGCCCACCATGTCCATCCTTGCCTACCCAGACTGTCAATTCATCACACCCCACCCCACCTGCTGACCCCCGTTCGCCTTATTAT